TCAGCAAGATGAACCAACGTGTCATTGCAAAAGGACTTGTTGATCGGCATTAATGTTTTTTTTCTTGATGATCTGAGCACAATGGATTAGCAGTCCATCGCCTTAACCACTCGGCCACCTCGTCCTACTGCCTAAAAAAGTCATAGGATGAATAGATAATTGTCAATATTGTCTCAAAAACGATCATGTTCCTGGAAGTTTGTAAAGGCGTTAAATACAGGGGGCACTTAGGACAAGTTCACAAATTTTCATTTGGAGTTGGGGGATTAGCTCAAATGGTAGAGGATAACATGTGAGAAGTAGCGGGATCAATGCTTCATTCTCCACTAAAGCTTAATTAATTATGTGCCTGTGAATGAGAGAAAACGACTAGATTTGAAAACAACTTTGCTCACTTTGAATCAGCAGGATGCACCAACGTGTCATTGCAAAAGGACTTGTTGAATGGCATTAATGTGTTTTTTCTTGATGATCTGAGCACAATGGACTAGCAGTCCATCGCCTTAACCACTCGGCCACCTCGTCCTACTGCCTTTGTTTTCATAGGATGATTAGATAATTGTCAATATTGTAGCATGTTTTTCATGTTCCTGGGAAGTTTGTAAAGGCGTTAAATACAGGGGGCACTTAGGCCAAGTGCACAAATTTTCATTTTGAGTTGGGGGATTAGCTCAAATGGTAGAGCTTAGCATGTGAGAAGTAGCGGGATCAATGCTTCATTCTCCACTAAAGCTTAATTAATTATGTGCCTGTGATTAATGGAAAACGACCAGATTTGTAAACAAACATTGCTCACTTTGAATCAGCAGGATGCACCAACGTGTCATTGCAAAATGACTCGTTGAATGGCATTAATGTGTTTTTTCTTGATGATCTGAGCACAATGGATTAGCAGTCCATCGCCTTAACCACTCGGCCACCTCGTCCTACTGCCTTTGTTTTCATAGGATAATTAGATAATTGTCAATATTGTAGCATGTTTTTCATGTTCCTGGGAAGTTTGTAAAGGCGTTCAATACAGGGGGGCACTTAGGCCAAGTGCACAAATTTTCATTTCGAGTTGGGGGATTAGCTCAAATGGTAGAGCTTAGCATGCGAGAAGTAGCGGGATCAATGCTTCATTCTCCACTAAAGCTTAATTAATTATGTGCCTGTGATTAGTGGAAAACGACCAGATTTGTAAACAACTATTGCTCACTTGAAATCAGCAGGATGCACCAACGTGTCATTGCAAAATGACTCGTTGAATGCATCAATGAGGTTTTCTTGACGATCTGAGCCTTTCTCCAAACACTGACATGATAAGCGAGCATCAGATAAATGCGACGAGAATGGGATTCGAACCCATGCGTGCAGAGCACAATGGATTAGCAGTCCATCGCCTTAACCACTCGGCCACCTCGTCCTACTGCCTTTGTTTTCATAGGATGATTAGATAATTGTCAATATTGTAGCATGTTTTTCATGTTCCTGGGAAGTTTGTAAAGGCGTTAAATGCAGGGGGGCACTTAGGTCAAGTACACAAGTTTGCATTATGTGTTGGGGAATTAGCTCAAATGGTAGAGCGCTCGCTTAGCATGCGAGAAGTAGCGGGATCAACGCCCGCATTCTCCACTAAAACTTAATTAATTTTGTGCCTGCGAATAGTGGAAAATGACCAGATTGATAAAAGACTGTTGCACAATCGAAATCAGCAGGATGCACCTGCGTGTGGTTGCCAAAGGACTCGTTGAATGCATCAATGAGGTTTTCTTGACGATCTGAGCCTTTCTCCAAACACTGACATGGTAAACCAGCATCAGGTAAATGCGACGAGAATGGGATTCGAACCCATGCGTGCAGAGCACAATGGATTAGCAGTCCATCGCCTTAACCACTCGGCCACCTCGTCCGACTGCCTTTCTTTTCATAGGATGATTAGATAATTGTCAATATTGTAGCATGTTTTTCATGTTCCTGGGAAGTTTGTAAAGGCGTTAAATACAGGGGGCACTTAGGCCAAGTGCACAAATTTTCATTTCGAGTTGGGGGATTAGCTCAAATGGTAGAGCTTAGCATGCGACAAGTAGCGGGATCAATGCCCGCATTCTCCACTAAAGCTTAATTAATTATGTGCCTGTGATTAATGGAAAACGACCAGATTTCTAAACAAACATTGCTCACTTTGAATCAGCAGGATGCACCAACGTGTCATTGCAAAAGGACTTGTTGAATGGCATTAATGTGTTTTTTCTTGATGATCTGAGCACAATGGATTAGCAGTCCATCGCCTTAACCACTCGGCCACCTCGTCCTACTGCCTTCATTTTCATAGGATAATTAGATAATTGTCAATATTGTAGCATGTTTTTCATGTTCCTGGGAAGTTTGTAAAGGCGTTCAATACAGGGGGGCACTTAGGCCAAGTGCACAAATTTTCATTTCGAGTTGGGGGATTAGCTCAAATGGTAGAGCTTAGCATGCGAGAAGTAGCGGGATCAATGCTTCATTCTCCACTAAAGCTTAATTAATTATGTGCCTGTGATTAATGGAAAACGACCAGATTTGTAAACAAACATTGCTCACTTTGAATCAGCAGGATGCACCAACGTGTCATTGCAAAAGGACTTGTTGAATGGCATTAATGTGTTTTTTCTTGATGATCTGAGCACAATGGATTAGCAGTCCATTATCTTAACCACTCGACCACCTCGTCCTATTTCTTTTGTTTTCATAGGATGATTAGATAATTGTCAATATTGTAGCATGTTTTTCATGTTCCTGGGGAGTTTGTAAAGGCGTTAAATGCAGGGGGGCACTTAGGTCAAGTACACAAGTTTGCATTATGTGTTTGGGGATTAGCTCAAATGGTAGAGCGCTCGCTTTAGCAAGCGAGAAGAAGCGAGATCAACGCCTCGCACTCTGCACTAAAACTTAATTAACTTTGTGTCTGCGAATAGTGGAAAATGACCAGAATGATATAAAGACTGTTGCCCAATCGAAATCAGCAGGATGCACCCTGCGTGGGGGTGGCTAAAGGACTCGTTGAATGCATCAATGAGGTGTTCCTTGTCGATCTGAGCCTTTCTCCAAACACTGACAATGGTAAAACCAGGAATCAGGTAATGCGACGAGAATAGGGATTCGAACCCATGCGTGCAGAGCACAATGGATTAGCAGTCCATCGCCTTAACCACTCGGCCACCTCGTCCGACTGCCTTTGTTTTCATAGGATGATTAGATAATTGTCAATATTGTAGCATGTTTTTCATGTTCCAAGGAGATTTGTAAAGGCGTTAAATACACGGGGGCACTTAGGCCAAGTGCACAAATTTTCATTTCGAGTTGGGGGATTAGCTCAAATGGTAGAGCTTAGCATGCGACAAGTAGCGGGATCAATGCCCGCATTCTCCACTAAAGCTTAATTAATTATGTGCCTGTGATTAATGGAAAACGACCAGATTTCTAAACAAACATTGCTCACTTTGAATCAGCAGGATGCACCAACGTGTCATTGCAAAAGGACTTGTTGAATGGCATTAATGTGTTTTTTCTTGATGATCTGAGCACAATGGATTAGCAGTCCATCGCCTTAACCACTCGGCCACCTCGTCCTACTGCCTTTGTTTTCATAGGATGATTAGATAATTGTCAATATTGTAGCATGTTTTTCATGTTCCTGGGAAGTTTGTAAAGGCGTTAAATACAGGGGGCACTTAGGCCAAGTGCACAAATTTTCATTTTGAGTTGGGGGATTAGCTCAAATGGTAGAGCTTAGCATGTGAGAAGTAGCGGGATCAATGCTTCATTCTCCACTAAAGCTTAATTAATTATGTGCCTGTGATTAATGGAAAACGACCAGATTTGTAAACAAACATTGCTCACTTTGAATCAGCAGGATGCACCTGCGTGTCGTTGCAAAATGACTCGTTGAATGCATCAATGAGGTTTTCTTGACGATCTGAGCCTTTCTCCAAACACTGACATGATAAGCGAGCATCAGATAAATGCGACGAGAATGGGATTCGAACCCATGCGTGCACGAGCACAATGGATTAGCAGTCCATCGCCTTAACCACTCGGCCAC